TACATATATATATATATATATATATATATATATATATATGCATATAATAACATATAATGAAAAGCATTTTATAATAATAACAATATTGTTTGAAGATTAATTTACATTCAGTGGGGTCCTAAATTCTGAGTCCGCATTGAAAGTGTTGCAAATGTAATATTTCATAGTATTATTATTATTATTTTTTATGTTATATATATTTAAATTCGTTTTTTTTTGTATATATATTTTTTAATTATTTATTTAAAATGTTAAAAAAAGTTTTTAAATAAGATCTTGAATTTTTCAGTGTCATTCCAGACTTTTGAACCTCACTGTATGTCCATTTTCTTTCATGTTTTTCTGAGCCCATGAGCCTATCTGTGTGTCCCGTCCTCTGCTCGTCCTCCTCCTGCTCTGGCCTCGCGTTATAATTATATAAATATTGTAAAGCGTTGTTTTAGAAAGTATTTCATGATGTCTCAAAATCAAACAGTTCCTGGCATCTGGAAACACAGCAGCAAATAAAAGACATGAATAACAAATGACACAAATAGGTCCCTAGGCGTGTGTATTACTCAAAGCACAGACTAACTGCTGACAAAAACCTTCACTGAATTTGATTTCAGTTCTTTCTTTTTTTTCATTGCACTTTGAATGTTCCCTAAAAAGACCCAGAGGAGTTATGCATTCATTCAAAGTGTAGAAATGTTTTCACTTTTGAATATCTTTTCAGCTTACTGCTTTCTATTGCTGCTGACTCCGCATTGTGAGTGAGTGGGTGTGTGTTTATGTGTGCGTCTGTTTGGGCGTGTGTGTGTGTGTGTGTGTGTGTGTGTGTGTTACTGTATACAGCCACATATCATGAGCCGGAGATGTCAGATGTAAGTTGTCACGTCGCAGACTCGGAGCCCAATTACAGGGAGGATTAGGACGGGGCTCAGTGACCCTCGCAGGAATTCGCAGGGATGCTCTGTGTTCGCAGTCAAACTCTGGGTTTTAAACCTCACAATTTGACTAAATCTCTCAAACGACTGTTTCTTGTAACTGTAGTTTTATATTTCTCTATAACTCTGCATCTTTTTATATTTCTCACAATCCCAATCTCACAGTGTGACTGTATAACAACTTTGTTGTTCGCAATTTTGAAGACTTCTTGCATTAGGGATTTTATGCCTCACATTTTGACCTTATCTCACAGTGTGACCTTAAATCTTGCGAAGTGACTTTCTTTTAATTGCAACTTTATTTCTCACCATTGAGATCCATTACGACGTTGTTCCTTGTAATTGTGACTTTATATTTTGCTCTAAATCTATACATTAGCTTTTTATTTTCGCTATTGTGAAAAATTCTCACAATGGAGATTTTATACCATACAATTTTATTTTATATCACACAATTGTAAGTTTATTTTTGTAATTGTCAAGAATTCTCGCAGTAGTGATTTTATATATTTATTTATCATATCACATCATATATTTATCATGTAATTATGACTTTAAACCTCACAGTCTGACATTAAATCTTGCAAAGTGACTTTTCTCTTGTAATTGCAACTTTATATCTCAAAATCTGTCTTGCAATTAAGACTATGTTTCTTGTAGTTGTGACTGTATATTTCGCTAAAACTCTACATTGTATCTTTTTAACTGAAACTTTCTTTTAATTGTGGCTTTCTCACAATTGTCATCATTTCTCACAATTACAATCTTGCAGTGATTTTTTCTTGACTTTATATCTCTCTATAACTCTCTATATCAACTATATTTGTATTTTTCAGTTCTATAACTCTGTAGCTCACAATGTGAGTATTAATCTCACAATTGCAACTTTTTGTTTTGCAGTTATGAATAATTCTCACAATAGTGATTTTATACCTTACAGTTTCACTTTATAGCACATGAAGCAACTTTATAATTTGCAAATCAACTTTCTTCTAATTGCAACTTTATTTTCGCTATTGTCAAGAATTATTGCAATAATGATTTTATACCATACAATTATGACTTTAAACCTCACAATGTGACATTTCTTTTGTAACTGCTACTTTATATCTCAAAATGTGACTTTATGTCTCATAATTACAACTTTGTTTCTTGTAATTGTGACGTTATATCTTCCTATATTTCTATATCTCAACTCTATTTCTCACAATTCCAACTAGATATGTGACTTTATTTATCACAAAGGTGAAGATTTCTCACCATAGAACAGTACAATTATTACTTTAAACCTCACAATGTGCCTTTAAATCTCACAAAGTGACTTTTTTCTTGTAATTGCAACCTTGTTTTAAAATCTGAGATTATGTCTTGCAATTACGACTGTTTCTTATATAGCTCTCTGTATCTCAACTCTATTTATATTTCTCACAATTCTAACTCTATATCTCACAATGTGACTTTATATGTAGCAACTGTGATTGCAACAGTTACGACTTTGCTTCTGTTAATAGTGACTTTATATTTCTCACACTGTAACTTCTCAGTTGCAATTGCACAGAATTCTTGCAGTAGTGATTTTATACCTTACAATGTGACTTTAAATCTTGCAAATTTACTTTTTTTCTTGTAATTGCAACTTGCAATTTGTTTGTTTGTTTTTTTCCAGAGCAGACACATTTGACATTACTAGGCTCCGTTTCTCATAAAAAAGCAAGCAAAAGTCTCCATTAGTTGTCATTTGTGACTGTGAGAAACTCCTGAGATCTCATTCAGTGCGTGATGTAGGCGTCTGTCAGATTAGCAGCAGATGAAGGCTTTACTCAGTAAATAAGGAGAAAGAATGGGCACTGCCACGAAAGCCCCGGGGCTCTGCATCTATTTTTAATTCCATATTTGTACACTTTTGATTAAATTGATTAAATTGATTTGTAAGACCTACTCAAACCACACAATGATCCTGGATGTTCGTACAGCTAATTGTACAAAAAACCCGTCCAAGAGCAGCGCTTCAGTGCCAGCACTTGTTTAATGCGGGCCGGAGACGCGGTGAAGGCCTGACCGGTGTTTTGACGGCCTGTGGGAGCCGGAGGAAGGGCTGCTTGTTTTCTGAGTGGAGAATCCAACACTGCAGATAAGATAATGACTGACTGGCAACACATTACCACGCTTAACAGATCACATGGCAATCTAAGCATTAAAGTCTCCCACACTTCAAATAAAGATCATATTGCTACTAATTACAACCACATGTTAATTTGAGTTTGTGCATGTGTGTGTGTGTGTGTGTGTGTGTGTGTGTGTATGTGTGTGTGTGTGTGTGTGTGTGTGTGTGTGTGTGTGTGTGTGCAACTGTGCATGTGTGTGTGTGTGTGTGTGTGTGTGTGTGTGAACTGAAGGAGGTGGGACTCAGTCGAGCCTCCTCTGCTATAAGATCCTCCCAGCAGCGCTGCATATCAGTTTGTCTCTCATGGAGCAGAGAATCAGTCTGCATGGGACCAAAGCGCTTGAGCGCGTGAATGCGTGTGGATAGTGTGTTCTACGAGAGGCTGAAGCGACGCGGTTGATGCGTTTGACACTGGAACACAATGACTCTACTGGGATCTGAACATTCCATTCTGATTCGCAGCAAGTTTAAATCAGGTGAGATCTTTGCTTCGCCTCCAACAGAAACTCGTTCGAAAGCATTGATTATTTACCGATGCATGATGAGTTCTTACAATTCAGTGTGCACGTGTGTCACAAACACTTTACTCTGGAATATAAAGCAATTTTTTGCTTTTTACCTGTTGGTCGCTGCATATGCTTTTAGCCAACCTTTTCAAGTGCTTTGATACAGGGGTCAAAGGTCATCAGGTGTCAATTTACCTGTGCAAAAAAATTACTTTATTCAGTATTTTCATCTTGTTTTCCAGTACGATTATTTGAACTGTCTTAGTTACATTTACTTGAGAAAGAAAATGATGTTAAGATATTAACAAATGTATCAAAATTAAATGAGTTTATGCTTAAAATAAGAAAAACAAAACATGTCAATGGGGTCAGAAAAAAATAGTATAGTTTTCCTTTGAATTAGGTGTATTTTTTGACTCCATTTGCAGATATTTCTTTCTTGTTTTAGGCATAAACTCACCTAATTTTGAAAAATTTTCCAGCCATTTTTGCTTCTTGAGTAAATGTATCTTGTTTAAATAATGTTTAGATGTTTGTACTGGAAAACAAGACAGAAATACTGAGGAAGAAAATCATTCGGTCGAAGCATAAACTCCTGCATCTGGCTTTTAATAACTTCACACTTGTTCTGTTTTCCACTCTTTCTGTTTCTTTCGAACTCTTTCTCTCTGTCTCGGTTCGTCTGTGTTCATCTCATGGAGCTGTTCAGTGTATCATAGACATGTACTGTGAACAATGCTGCCACCTTTCTGATGAAAGCGTTACTGAATAACCACAATGTCTCTGAAGATCTTCTTTGCATCTGCAATAAAGCTCATTCTGATTCTGATTCTGATTCTGATTGTTAGCAGCACACATGCGGCACAGATGTGAGGTTTTAGCTGTGTGTGTGTGTGTGTGTGTGTGTCTAAACAAAAGCAGATGTATGCAGATAGCTGATGCATGATCTCAGCGCTACGAGCGCGCGGCCATCAGTCAATCCGCCTGCTTTTGTGTCGACGGCACAATTATGCAGCTGGTTGATTGATTGCGATTATAAATGGAAGGACGAATGGACGATCAGATGAACACTGACAAGTACAAGAACTGTTGCATGTCCACACGGTTCGGGAGTCTATTCCAACAATAACTCACGAGCATGAATGCTATTTTTCTGTGACTGTGAGTGTGTGATATTGCTGTTATACAGTTCAATAAACATCACTTAGTAACTTAAATTTTTTAGACACAATATTGGCATTTACTTTGTTTAGTTTTCCTCTGCCAATGAAAATAGTTTCAAATGAGCCGAAAACCCAAACACGTTTCCTATCAACACACGCAGTCGTTAAATGAAGCGCTTGAGTGAGCGATTCAATGATTTGCTCATAAAGACAGTTACTTGTTTTGTTTCTGACTTAATCAGTGTTTTGATCAAATCGCTTGAGTGAGTGATTCAATGACTCACACAATTTCTGGCAACATTGTCGGCTTGACTGCACAGACGCTATCAGAAGAGAACTGAACTGAGCTGGATGATGACGTCACTGAATCAACAATTAACTGACTTTAACTGATAAACTGACTGTTTTCTATCGTCCTCTTGCATTATCAGCACACGTTTTTCGTGTTTGACACTGTAAAGCTGCTTTGACACAATCTGTATTGTATAAAGCGCTATATAAATAAAGGTGACTTGACTTGACTTGACTCATAAAGACAGTTACATGTTTTGTTTCTGAATGAATCAGTGTTTTGTTCAAATCACGAATGATTCAATGACTTACTCATAAAGATGATTAGTTGTTTCTGAATTAATCAGTGCTTTAGAAGAATCGCTTGAGTGAATGATTCAAATGACTCGCTCATAAAGACAGTTACTTGTTTCTGAATGAATCAGTGTTTTGTTCAAATCACTTGAGTGAATGATTCAATGACTTACTCATAAAGATGATTAGTTGTTTCTGAGTTAATCAGTGCTTTAGAAGAATCACTAGAGTGAATGATTCAATGACTCGCTCATAAAGACAGTTACTTGTTTCTGAATGAATCAGTGCTTTAGAAGAATTGTTTAAGTGAATGATTCAATGACTCACTCATAAAGAGAGTTACATGTTTTGTTCCTGAATGAATCAGTGTTTTGAACAAATTTCTTGAGTGAATAGTGAATCATTCAAAATACTCTTTTATAAAGACAATTTCTTGTTTCATTCCTGAATTATCGATAATTGATGTGTTGAACAAATGGCTTGAGGGAATGATTCAATGACTCACCAACTACTGGTTTCGCTCCTGAATGAATCAATGTTTTGAACAGAAAGAGTGACTGAAACATCCTCAACACTAACACTTCTAACAACGTCTGTTTGGAACAGGCAAACTAAATGTCTGGATCAGAACTAACTGAATTAAAGGGGTCATATGACGTTGCTAAAAAAACATTATTTTGTGTATTTGGTGTAATGCAATGTGTTTACGTGGTTTAAGTTTCAAAAAACACATTATTTTCCACATACTGTACATTATTGATGCTCCTCTATGCCCCGCCTTTCTGAAACGCGTCGATTTTACAAAGCTCATCGGTCTGAAAAGCGTTGAGTGCTCTGATTGGCCGGCTATCTAGTGCGTTGTGATTGGCTGAATTCCTCAAGTGTGTGACGGAAATGTTACGCCCCTCACCAGGTTCAGGAAACTCTCCTCCGTAAAATGTGCTGCACACACTTGAATATTTGGGTTGTACTGTTCTGGAACAGTGTTGTGAATAAAACTTAAACACACAGCGCGGCGGCAACAATACTACAGCGATAATAAAAGTTAGTTACACCTTCTTTCTTTGCGTGAACATTTGGGCGGTGTTATGCAAATCTTCCCACACGGTGATGTAGATATGTGGGGCGTGTTTGAACGAGGCGTTTTAGGAAGGCGTGGCTGAGCGTTCACTTTTATAAAGAATATCTCTTTGGGTTTGAGATTTTCATCTTTGCGACTTTACGGATCTTCTGTTTGCACAAACAGCTTTTAACACTCAAAGACAAAGGAAAACATGAAATTGCATCATATGACGCATTTAAATTGTTGTTTTTAAAGAAGCAAAACCTTTTTTCATTTATTCTCCTCAGTTTTACTTACAGTAGATTATGCACAGACGTTCATACACGGACACTCGTGCAGTGACGGCGTAGATTGCCGGGATGAGAGACACACCACCCAAAACAAAGACAAAATGAAGCAACAGACCCACACATATTTCTTAAAACAGGATGTATGTCTATGATAAACACAGCTCCTGGCTTTAAACAAATCCTCCTTCAGTGTGTGGTCCTCCTGAAGTCTGAGAGGAGGGAGGCGCTCATAAACGTAAGAGGTGACCCGTTAATGTGTGTGTGTGTGTGTGTGTGAGTGAGAGAGAGAGAGTGTGTGTGTGTGTGTGTGTGTGTGTGCAGCATCTGCCCGTCCATACAGGATGATGTGTTCCTTCTCCGGATGCAGATTTCTCTCTGATTTGTGCAGCTTCACTCATGATGGGTCATTATCTGTTTCCTCCTCCACCCACAGTCCTGCAGCTGAGACTCCAGCAGAGGAGGACACGAGAGCAGCTCGCTGAGCAGGGCATCATGCCTCGTGAGTAGAACCTCCACTCCTCTGACTACATCACACTGCATTATGGGTATCTGAACCGCTTTGACAGCGCGAGCCTCACGTGAGCTGAAGATCAGCACTACAGTCACACATGCAACACTTGTTAACATGTACATAGAAGAGCCCGGTTCACACAGCTGCATCTGACACCACACACACACACACACACACACACACACACACACGCACATACACACACGCACACACACACACACACACACACACACACACACACACTCACACACACACAGACACACAGACACACAGACACGCACATACACACACGCACACACACACACACACACTCTCTCACACACACACTCAAAATATAGGAACTAATTTAATTTAATCACGGAAAAGCGGCTTTCAAGACATTGCATGTATAAATTGCATTTTGGATGTATTTTTGATAAAGGACCACTGAGTCATATAGTCAAAGCAGAGTAAGATAATTCAGCTAAACAGACGGAGATGTTAAAGAAAACAGCTGCTAAAACACACAACAGTGTATCTGAGACTTTGCTTTAGGTTTCATAAATATACAATATGTCTGATCAGATTGAGTCAGGACTGTGATTAGATGTTGCTGAGAGAAGAATCAGTCTGTGGATTTCAGCTGGAGATAAACCACACAGATCTGTGTCTGAGCTCCTAAAAAAGACTTTCAATGGCTCTTTATCTTTCTATGGCAGACAACAGGTCGGCAAGCTCAGATAAACAGGTTTTTTTAAGCATTTAAATAGATACTGGTGTAAATACATATGGGAAAGCATAGCTGTGCTACAGCAGGAAAAGTGTCTAGAAAACGCGTGTCATGTTTTCTCCTCGTGACTTTGTGACAGTCGTTGTAGTGTGTGTTTTATGAATGTATGGCGGTATCTCGTGACGAGCCCCTCCAGCTCTAGCACACGATATCTCTCATCAATCATAATGCACCTTACATTGCAAAGGCTGGAATTATGCGATTGGTTGCATTCTTCAGTGAGGAGATATTTCAGTGTTCGTGGTGGTTTTGCACATGTGCGGTGTCTATCGTCTGATTCAGGACTATAATCCAGCTTCAGCAGAGAAACACAGGCCGGATCAGACGCTGGCAGAGATGATTTTTGTAAGATTCATTGACAGATAAACCATCACATTTACTCCGTTTCTCGTTTGTGTTTCCAGCCTTGAAGAGTCCGGCTGCGTTCCACGAACAGAGGAAAAGTCTCGAGCGATCCAAGGTTAGAAGAAAGAACAAACAACCACAACACAAAGAAGATCTTGCTCAAATCAAGTCACCTTTATTTCTACAGCACTTTATAAAACACAGATTGTTTGAAAGCTGCTTCACAGCGATAAACAGCACAATACCAGAATCACTGATGCAAAGTGCATCAAACATGAGACCAGTTCAGTTTCATCTGTAAAGCAACTCTATAGAGTCATGATTCAGTGTTGACTCTATTCAGTTCAATAAGTGTCAGTGTTGCAAAGTATTTCTTTTGCTGTTTAAATTCATTAAATTAAATAAAAAACCTAAAATAATTTTAAATGCAACATAATAATGCATAGTTAGAAAAACTGCTGAAGATTGTTATTAAATTATTCATTTTGATTATTTATTTATTTTTAAGGTTAGTTGACCATTTTGAACTTCAGTTCAGCTATAAAAGCAGCTCTACAGAAGTACTGTGAAAGTGTCTAAAAATCAACTCATTTTATTTAGTGTTTTATAATATTTGATGTTGCAGACTGGAGATTATTTAAAGCACAAAATCAGAAGTCGACCAGAGAAATCTGAGCTTGTCAACATGCGTATTCTACCAGGTAAGAGCTTTAATAAATAAACAAAATATCAAGTCTTAATTAAGACAAAATTAATTGGGTTTTTGCCTAAAAAATAAAAATAAAAATCTGCCAGTGGGGTTGGAAAAATAAACTTAATTCAAAGAAAAAACAAGATTATTTTTAAGCAAAAACTCACTTCATTTTGATACATTTGCCATAAAACAAGACCTAATACGTGAGCCTGGAGCACAAAAGCAGTGTTAAGTCGCTGGGGTATATTTGTAGCAATAGCCAACAATACATTGTATGGGTCAAAATTATACATTTTTCTTTTATGCCAAAAATCATTAGGATATTAAATAAAGATCATGTTCCATGAAGATATTTTGTAAATTTCCTACCGTAAATATATCAAAACTTAATTTTTGATTAGTAATATGCATTGCTAAGAACTTCATCTGAACAACTTTAAAGATGATTTTCTCAATATTTAGATTTTTTTGCTCCCTCAGATTCCAGATTTTCAAATAGTTGTATCTCAGCCAAATATTGTCCTATCCTAACAAACCCTACATCAATGGAAAGATTATTTATTCAGTTTTCAGATAATGTATACATCTCAATTTCAAAAAATTGACCCTTATGACTGGTTTTGTGCTCCGGGGTCACTAATATCTTAAGACATTAAATGTATCTTGATGTAAGAATGTTTAGGTATTTGTATGTATTGTTATTTTGTGCAGTGTAGTTGCTTCACTAACTCCTGAGTTCATATCATGACTTTTCTTTCTGCATCTTCTTCTTTGCACGAGTGAATTCCTCTCTAGTGATGTTGAGCGAGATTCCTCCCAGCCTTTGGCTCATCAAACATAGTTTGATTAGTAGGCCGTGGGCTCGCGCTGTGTTTACTATGTGGTCCGACCGCAGTATGCTGTGCGCTCAGATCATAGACAGTAAACATGTCCGTGCTCTCCTGAGGCGGCTGGATGTGTTGCATAAGCGGCGTGAGGCTGGGGGCGATGGTTTATATTACCTCTGCTGGAAGAGCAGCGTGTTTTATTGAGACAAACAGCAGCTGTATTTAGATCCAGCCTTTTCGCTGGAGATCAAATGAATGTCCCCCTCATTCTGTGTTATGACTCTGCGTGATTTATGCAGCTCCATCCAACCACCTACAAAAGAGTTTGAGCAGACAGAGCTGCCACGACCCTTCCCAGAATGCTTTGCACGAGGACTGCTAGACTTCTGTCATTTCAAATTAACATATATATACGTTAAAGAAACGCTGTCTGCTGCGTTATCAGAGCGACTCTGAATACGGACTCTTCTCAAATGTGCATGAGATGCGTCGTCTGGCTGTTAGTGCACATGAAGCCACTTTCCATTAGAGTGTTTTAAAATTGCTTACACACTAAAGTTGCACTTGAGGCTCACTCGGTGAAACCATTCTCTCATGTACCGAATCCTCACACCAAGTCTGCAAAACTGCAAGCACATGATCTGCTTTACTCGGTTTGCAATTGAAAAACAAGCTTTTTGCGAAATGCTAAACAGTTCTCTGCATTAGACACGTCATTCAGAACGATCAGCTCTTGTGTTTCATTTGGGGAGCGTTTTACTTACAGCCAGTGATCATGAGTGAAAACACTGAGACATCATTTGTTCACTTAGAAATCCAAACTCAATGTTTTGAGGAAGAACCCCCCCCCCTTTTTTAATAGCATAAATAAATCTAATTTGATCTCTTAGAAATCAAAGCTCAGTGTGTGGAGAAAAGTGTTTGGCATCTTGTGTGCATGTTTTGTGGTTTTGTGTGAAGAGTTAAGAGAAAAGTAGAATTTCAGTTTCAGGAATTGTAAGCAACTGTAAGCAAAAAAACTATAAAAAATAAAGAAGGTAAATAAAGAAATGGAAGAATGGCATAGCACAGACAGGGCATTATCTTTACAAACACAGTCTCAGATGATCTAAGATAGAGTAAGTGGACAGTCAGGAGCTCACTGGACCTCATCATAAAAGCACAGCTGTCCAACATCAACACCAGAAGGAACTCACACATTAGAGAGAGAGAGAGAGCGTGTGTGTGTGTGTGTGTGTGAGAGAGAGAGAGAGAGAGAGAGAGTCTGTGTGAGAGTGTGTGTGTGCACGTTTTTGTGACAAATGAGGACATCAGTTTGTAAAATGACATAGGTATTACAAGGAGAAGGTGACTTTTCAGGACATTACCCCATGTCCCCACTTTTCAAAACGCATATAAATCACACAGAATGGAGTGTATTGAAAATCTGAAATAGCACAATTTCCTGTGAGGGGTAGGTTTAGGGATAGGGTTGGTGTAGGACAATAGAATATACGGTCTGTACAGTATAAAAACCATAACGCCTATGGGATGTCCCCACTTTTCACAAAAACAAACCTGAGTGTGTGTGTGTGTGTGTGTGTGTGTGCG